GGGGGGGGCCGGGGGGGGGGGGGGGCGAAACTGCGAGAGTGCAGCCCGGTCTGAAATGGAAATCGCGGCACGCGGATCGACCCGCAGATTGCCGCATAAGAATTTTATTGCGCTGCTTCCCCTCTCTCTTTCTCTCTTTAGCTCGCTGAGCGATCGTCTCTTCTCGCCGTTCTGCACGTAAAACTGCACCTCTCGCGAGAAAGTAATTAACTCGCGCCCTCGCCACCCCCGCAGCGCATAACGACGGCCGCGAGACCGACAGCGCCGTATGACCGGTGCATCCGTAATAAAGGAATTTCCGCGGAGGAATGGCGAAAGATTCGGCGGTCTCGCGCGGCTAAATGACGCGGGGGAGGATTTTATTGCATTCCCTGCAACGCTCCCCCGATGGGGCGAACGACCGCAGTGCAGTCCGATGCAGGACGTGAAAGTGCATCTCGCGAGGAGGCGATTAACCCCGGCGCGAGCTGAACAGCGCAGTGTAATGTGAAGTAAATGCAGCCGCGAGATTCGTGAGAAAAAGGCCTGCCGAAGGGATGGGAAAGAGGCGGGAGAGGAATGAAAAATCTGGAGATTTCATGCAACCGTGAATGATAAATGCGCAATCTGACGTTCGCGGGACGCCTCGCGTCTTCGCGGCCCACTCAAGACGATCTGTAATCCGCGACAGAATTCGCGACGGAATTCCCTCGCTGTTTTGAAAAGAGAACGTTTGATATTTGCAACTGTAATTGCATCGAGAAATAGTCACGGTCGAGAGACCTATATCTGCAGTATAAAAGCTTTTCTTCGATTGTTATTATAGTAATAATAATAGTAATTTTATAGTAAGGGACGCTACTATAGTGTTTCATTAATATCAATTTAATGGCATTTCCTATTTTAAGATGTTTATTTTTAATTAACATTTCCTCTTGCTCAGTTTCTGACCAATAATTAGTCAAGAAACATTGGCCAGTATTTCCCGACGTTTTACTCTAGACGAAAAATTGTCTAACCATTATTACTAACCATTTTTTATTAGCTACTTTCTGGCTTAGTCAAGAAATACTGACCAATATCTTCCTATTTAGATCCTATATAATTACTGTCAAATAAATTTAACTATCCTATTAAAAATAAGAGGTAAGACCGGCGTAAGAATGATTATGATTTGCAACAAGGTTAGTAATCTCTTTATCTCTCTTAGAGCGAGAAAATCTTCGTGAAATCAGAATTAATTGCGTTCGCGCGTTCTTCGTGAGTATGTGCACCCGCAAACTCCTCGACGTTCGCGCGCTGAATTACAAAAGAGAAATTCTATCGCGATTTACACAAATCGCCGATAGCGGGTTTCACGGGAACGGACGTGGAAGTGCTTTCGCGGAGAGAAGGCAACGTAACCCCGACGATCTTCCACGTTGCGATTCTCTATTTTGGCGGATCCGACGTTACCGCCACCGCATTCTCCGCCCGCTCGCCCGCGTTCTTCGATCGCCGCCGCGGTGCGAAACGACGCGCGAGAATGCAGTTTTCGTTTGCAGTTGCAGCTGCAGATCGAGCGAGCGTAATTAGCGGCGTCCTCGAGTAAATGCGGTGAGAATCGCGAGATCGCTCCGTCGTCCATCCCGCGCGAGCGCGTTGCATGTGTATGTGATTACGAGGCTCCGTGATATGTCCCAGTGAGAAGAACCCAAACCCAACATGTTCTATGACGCGTGTGCTTCTCGTCGCGGGAAAGTGTCCATTTACGCGCGCGCGCGAACGACGTTAACGACGTGCGGCGAATCGCGATTATTATTTCCTAAACGCTGTCTGCCAGAGCACGATTTTGCTGGATGTTTGGCCGCGATAGATAACTGGACAAACGCCACTTGTGTACGCGCAGTCTACTGTTACTCTCGCTTCTCTCTATCTGTCTATCTCTCTTCCTCTCTTCCGTGTTGGTTGTGCGAGCTCGTGTAACAATGTAATATAATTGCGCGCATATGCGGCAAAGCGAGAAGACGCGTGAATTCTATCCCGCTTCCACCTCAGGTTTCTTTAAAATATCGTCTTATTCCCCATGCAGGGCAAATTGGACGAGCGGAGGCTCGAAGGAATTGAGAGAATTAAATTTTCTTCTTGCAGGTGGGAGAGTGATGCGCTGTTTTGGTAACGCGATTGCGAATTTACTCGCTCGTACTTTCAGGCGCGTATTTTTCTATGCGCATCCAACATATAATTTATTTTTTCTTTCCCGTCCTATTTTTTTTCTTTTTTTTTGTGAACATGCATTGCTTCGAAAAACAAGAATCTTGAAATTCGAAAAGTAAAAGCCCGCTTCCCTGAAAGTCATAATTCCAAAATCCAGTTGCCGAGACAATCTTCTGAGATGCAACTTTCGGGAAATGTTGGAAGCGTATAATTATCTCAGAAAATCGTGACACCGAAACGAGCGCGACGAAACGATATATTAAAAATGTTCTATTATTATTATTATTACTATTATTGTTTCGGGAGAGCTGTATCTCATTGGGACGTGTCTCTTTGGATTTCGGATTACTTTTCGCAAAATTATTGTAAAAAATAAAATGACTCATTAATTAAATTATTAATTATTAAAATTATTATTACAATTCCAGTCACACAAACTAATTCGTAAATTATCGTACCTTCGCGCACAGTACGATAAACCGTTGCGACACGCCACTGAAAGACACAAGAGAGGAGGGATCTACGTGCGCGCTTTCTGCTACTGACGCTTCGCGTTCCTTCTCGCCAAAGGGCTGAACTCTGTCGCCGCGAGGCGCGCGCTTTAATTAACGAAACGCGCAACGACGACATTACGCACATGTGGAACGACATAGCGTCGTGAATCAACCACGGGAAGGAAGGGAGGAAGGAACAACAGGAGAGCCCGCGAGCTCCCAGTGGTCCTCTTCTCTGAGCATCACGTAGCCGAATAATTTTCTCGTCGCCGAGTTTCTTTCTCTCTTTCTCTCTCTCTCTCTCTTTTCCTTTCTCTTTCTCTTCCTCTCACAAGGTTTGCGCGAATTCCGCGATTGGAACTAAGTCAATAGACGAAAGACCGGCGAGCCGGGGATCGGATCAATCAACCGTCCGGCGCGTGGACGGACGGCGCCATAAATTCTATCTCCCGAATTTCGCCGTGCACGTGCGCCTGTGTCTGTGTGTTTGGCGCGCGTGTGCGAGCGCGCAACTGCGGGCGAGACTGCAACTGCAAACCGACTGTAATTGGAAGGGCCGTGGGGCGATGGTACTATGTACCCATCGTGTATATGGAGGTTATCGCGCGCATCGGGTACCGTGAATCGAAATCGAAAACCTCGAGGGCGCGCGCGCGCATGCAACGCCTGCCCGGGCGTTTTCGGCTTCCGAATTAGGCGCGTCGACACGTACACTCTAATCTAATCGAATCGACCGACCGCGCGCACTAGAGTGCGCGAATTCTCTCCCGGTCTCTCTCTCTCTCTCTCTCTCTCTTTCTCTCACTCATTCTCTTGGTTTCTCTCCCTACTTGGCGTATTCTCTTGCCGGCGAGCCGCGCACTAGGAAACTTTTAATCGCGCCCGAATTGCCCCGTCTCGTAAATCGATACCGCCGCGCTATCGTAAATCGCGAGCGGTCGCGTATCGCCGCCGGCGACGTATTATTGCCGCTCGAGGG